CCCTTCTAATAATCACTGTCACCAAGCAGGAGATGCATCAGTGTAACAAAGTCCCGATAGTTTGGCTCAGGCAAACCTAACCCTGGTTCACGACCTGCTTAGTCAGAAACCTGCAGCACCTCCTCAGATGGAACTTGGGAGCTGGAAGAGGACAAGGGGACGTACAGATCTTCTGGATCGTTCACATCGATGGACACAGAGCAGTGGGTTTGGTTGGTGCTGACAGAGGAGGTGGAGTCGTCAGAGTTCATGCTGTCAGACTGGGAGACGTAGTTGTACTCACGCACAGGGCAGACCTGCTCATTGTAGCTTGCTTTAAAATTGTCTTTCAGACCTTTGGAGAGCTGAAACCAGTCCTTAAAGAAGTGGGGAAAAAATCTTTACATTAATTTGACAAATAAATGCAACAAACTGGATTTTTGAGTTACAATTGTTTAATGGGTAACTCCTTCCCCAGAGCTCTACGCTGAAAAATCATTTGAACACAAGAGTATTTATATTTTTAGCCATTAAGTGGTGCTGTTCTCCGTCTACTGGTTCACCTCTTGATCTGGACAATTTAATGACTATTAAACTGCTGCCAGGACTTTTACAGACGTTTAAGGTTCCCAGAAGATGTGAACTAATGCTTTGGTGCTCTTTTCTACTAATACTGAATGGACTATCATGAATCGTGGCGTTATCATTAACATCAAAGCACTGTGATACCCAATACGGTCTCATACAGCCACTAACATGCATATTTATTACTCTTCATTTTATTCTTTTAGTATCTTAATTCGTTTTCTAGCTTTAGAAATCTAGTAAGAAATTTTGTGTGACTGGGAATTGGAAGGATAAGACTGACCTCTGGATGTTACTAACCTCAATGTCATGAAGAATCGGGGATGGTTTGGGAACTGCAGGGATCAGGATGATTTTGAGCCTGTATGGGAGGTAGGGACACTGTTACTCTCGGTTTTTCATAACAAGAATATTTGCATTCACTTTGTTCACGCTAACACCTCAGCACTGTAACTGAGTGGGGCTGAGCTTTCCGGATCAGGAATCCGAATGCATGATGCAGGACATCCAGTAAAAGTCAAATTTGCATTCAGAGTTCGTACATGGATTGGTAGCACACAGAACAAAAAACTCAGGCAAAGAGCAAAGAAAACAGATGACAAGAACTTAAAAGATCAATCAACAAAGAGCAAGCTGGGGCAAAATGCAAGAAGAGGGAAAATAATGCATTTGGGAAAGCTCGAAACACCAGTGTTTGGAAACCCTGACTACAGTAACAACCTGGAAACAATAAGCAGACTGGATACTTTAGCTGAGGTAAAACAGGAAAAAAACAGGAAGTTAAAACAACCAAGACACAAATAATTGGTGATGTATAGGATGGATAAGGGGGAAGTGTTGTTGTGACTAAGCTTATGTCAGCCAGCATCATCTGGGGGTTTTTAAGCCTCGGGCAGAAAAGCCTGTCTGCATGTCTTACAGGTGATAAACCACATTCCTCTCTAAGACGTGTGCCAGTGGTCCAGTGGTCCAGTGGTCCACTCACCAGAGGCCCACCAGCACTGTTTGTGTTGAACCCGTTTGGGACCTAACTGAAGGTAGAGGCTTACAAGTAGCCATGGCATGGCGACCCTAACCCTAGTTTTGGTGATTACTCAGTATCCTAAGTAAATTCCACAGAATTTGAAGATAAAAAAAATCTTGCGCAAACACTTTTTAAGGTCATGAACACAGTGGGCATTTGGGTTGCCGTCATATGCTGGTTCCAATTCTAATCTACGATCACAAAATCGCATGGCACACCTAAACTGACTTCGTGGCACATCAGTTGGATCTGTGATCTGATCACAGATCAATCATCTGATTTATGGAAGAACCCACCTTTCACGTTGCAGTAACATCACCACCAGCAGGATGAGGGTGATGGCACCCACCACATAGAGCAATGTCATCCACAGAGGCACTGAGTCAGAGTCTGTGAGGAAGAAAAAAGAAGAATATTATTTGTATAAATCTTTTAGCTCTAAATATTGGGGCACGCATTGTTAGGAAGCATAATTCTGAATTTTAACCAAGCATGTTGGGGTCAAACAGTAACTGAAATAAATCTAAAGTTCTATACGAACATAATTTTTTATTTCTGAAAACTACAGAAAATAAGTCAGCTATACATAAGAAAAAAACATCTGCCGTGTTTAAGCAGTCATTCAATTACATTTTTGGGGAAAAAACGACATCTTTTCTTCATAACATGTAGAATTTTTAACCTATGCTGCTGTTGGATCCCCAGAACACAGGTTCACTCCAATCACTCCAGAAGTCAGACGATCCACAGCCTTCATCTATTCTGTTCCGCACTTGCAGCTCATATCGGGAACTTCCCGAGGGCGAGTTGATGCAGTACTTCTGTATCTCGGGGCTAACTTTAGAGAACTAGAAAATCAGATGGATTTTAGAAAACACAAGAAGAGAGAACAAGAAGGGGCAAACAAAGCAATAAATTAAAAAGGATGAGAGAAACTCTTTTCCTACCCCCCAGTTATTGTTGTTTGTCCTGAAGCGGACCTCACTCTCCACACAATGTAGACGAGCAGGAGAAGTGTGGTTCCAGTAAAACCACAAGTTAAAGTCTGATCCATTGAGAACAGTCAGGTTGGTTGGTGGATTTAACTTGACTGAAAAGATACAGACGTGTATTAACATGAACAAACATGCCAGTATACATTATATTTTAAGGCCTCTTTCATGTCAGAATACCCACAATTTTCTTGGAAATTTTTTTTAGATTTAAGCAAAAGTGTAAATAAAAAAAATCCCAATAATTACACTAATTTTTCCATCATTATTTTATTTGTTATTTTAAATACAGTTATGTTCCAGGCCAGGGTAAATACATACCTCGGTTTTTAAGTCCATGTGTCTCCTTAAATCTATCCTTGCCATGTACCAGCCTGGTGTTAAAAGTCATGAATCTGTCGCCAGACTCACATGGCTGGATGCATCCAATGTTCATGTTGTTCTCTGTCAAATACTGTGGGCAGCTTTTTTCTTTCTTATTGAAGAAACTGTGTAGAAATAATAATAAAAAACAATCACGCAAAGTACTGAGCCATATCTACTTTAGTATTCATCATGACCAAATATGTTCATATATGTTCATCATTTATTCAAAAATGTGTTGTTGTTGTTTTATTTGTTAGGGCCTAGCAATTAAATATGTTTAACTGTTAAGTTTATCAGAAAAATAGAAGAATTTTCATTACATCTTCCACTGAAGCACAACCAGCCTAATTCTAATCTGATGAATTCAGAAGACATCACTGAGATGTCCCACTGCTGTTATCAGCGGTTACCCACCTACTATAGAAGGTGTAGTTGACCTTTGGTGTCCCCTTCTTATTCCAGGTACAGGAAACATTTTTCAAATTGATAATCAAGCAATCCACATCTGTTAAAAATATGACCAATTTGAGAAAATGATTTTCAGAAACTGATAATGGTTAGACATATAAATTCTACATAACAGTAGAGTCATACACCCATGACCTTAAACTGATTTTAATTAATTTAGATAGCAATTATTTTTATATCAAGGTACAACAACTCAGGTCCTTTCTTCATAACTGATTCGCTGTTTTAAGGAAGCTGATCAAATACATATTGAATGCTAGCAGGCGATAATATATGTAGATCTGCCAAAAACAGACTCACTGACTATTCAGACACTTGTATTCAACCTAAAAAATTATGTCATCAGTCGACTATAATTTGTAATAACTTCGATCTTGTGTAATTGATCTTACCAGGGGCTTCTGTGGCAAACACAGGTCCGATCAGACAGAGAAGTAGAAGCAGTCTCGTCGGCATCATGGCGCACTAAAACAGGATGTTAAGAGTACTTTTGCAACGTTACAACTCTGACTGTTGCTGTTTGTCTGACGTAACTGAGCCGACTTTTGCGGTGTTGTTTCTCATCAGTTCCTGTAGTTAGACCAAACACTGCGATGATTTATCACTTCCTTGTAACATAATTAAAGTTGACCTCAGACAAACAGGAACAACAATATTCAGAAACTAAAATATATTGTAGGCCTGTTGTATGTAACCTACACTTACAAAAAAATAAATGAATAAATAAAATAGTAACCTATAATTCAATAATTAAATATGAATCAAGTTTTGGCTATTGTTTGTAATAGCCATCTATTATCTATCTTAGCCTTTTAACAGAAATAAAGACCAAGTAGCGACAAGACTTGTGTCTTGCAGGTGTTGTCTGAAAAATGTCCAAACAAAGGCAAAAAAAGTTACAGAACAAAGTTATCTAGTACGTGTCTCAAACTACATGAAAAACACATTTCTGACCGACTCTGTGGTGACATGGTGAAGTGATATAAATACAGCAGGGCTATATTTACTCATATTCAGAGCGAGGGTGTCAGCATTCAATAGTAAGAGAATTAATCTGAAAACTCTGACTTGGATCTATTTAAGCAGTGCTAATCTGCTTTGCAGCACCTGTTAGGCTTTGCTGCTAACGTGGCGCCATGTGTGAGTGTGGAAGTGCTGTGAGAGAGAATGAGTAAGCCTTTAACTTACTTCTTTTAAATAATTTAAATAATTTAATCATCTCAGCCTCTTGAAAAAATAGCCTTTGAAAAAAGTAATAAAAAGAGAGCAACGGTTACTTTTTTAAGTGCGGAACTTGAAAGAATTTGCTAAAATATTAACAGGCCACACACGTTTGTGTTAATATTCACCCCTCCTCCTTTAAGTAGGTATCAATTATTGTGACTTTATACTGCTTTAATATAAATTCACTATAATTTACAAGTTTCTTACTTTTTTAAACGACGCTATCAGTTTCCATTTTTTTCATGTCCATTTTTAGTGTATTTTATGAGTGGATTGATTGTGCAACCTTCACGCGTTTATGTGCAACTTTGCCCTTCACACTGCTTAAGCAACGTGACGAGCTTTTATTTTGAAGAGCCGGAAGTCCCAGTGTTTTGGTAACGGCAAGGAAGGACCTGTCATTTACCCTGGTCCAGCTAATTTCTAATCTAATCAGCTGTTTCCCGGCAAAAAAAAACAGCACTAATATAACAACAAATGTAACTGTTTGGACACAGAGACAAAATGGGATTCACACGGAGTCGCTTTCTTGGCGGTAAGCCGTCGAAAGCGCCGCTGCTGCTGCCTTTTCTGCTCACAGTCCTGCTCGTCGGGAGCCAAGGCGACGGCGGTGCGATGGACAACGGCGCAACTGAGAGGATAGCAGAGGAAAGCCACCGACAGGACAGTGCCTACCTACTGATATTCATAATGCTCTTGACGCTCACCATACTAACCATATGGCTTTTCAAACACCGCCGATTCAGGTTCCTGCACGAAACAGGGCTTGCCATGATCTATGGTAAGGACACCGAGCTAGCCCTCATATCAGTCCATTAAACGTAGCTTTAATGCTAGCTGAATAATTTGACAGGTAAATCTCACGTATCTTGGGCAGCATACTTCTAATCAGAGTGATATCCCTAATAAAAAACAGTTGCAACAGAATACACGATAATGGGTAGTGTATTGCAACAATAAATGGCAAACAAATGACTAGAGATGGGCCCTATAATTCCTATTTATAGCTATTAAAGTATCCTTTCCTTTCAAAATAATAAAGCTCACTTCTGTAAGAATAATTCTCCTATCAGTATTGGTTGATTCAACAGTTTTGAATGCAATCTCAGCCTAATTTCCTCCTCAAATAATAGTTAACTTCAAATCCTGTGCTGCCTGTTCTGATTTCACTTGCTCTTTTCTCTTTTTCCACTTTCCCAAAGGACTGTTGGTGGGTGTGATCCTGCGGTTTGGCATCCACGCCCCCCAAAGCATGAGCGACGTGATTCTCAGCTGTGCCGTTAACGGCAGTCCTGCCACTCTCTTGGTCAATGTCAGCGGACGGTTCTATGAGTACACTCTGAAGGGGGAAGTCGGACAGGGCAAAGGTCACCAAGTGCAGGACGATGAGATGCTGAGAAAGGCAAGGGAACAGATGGTGGAGGGTTGAAGTATTGGCCGTTTAGTGTGCATGTCTCACACTAAACAGTCTGTTAAGCGAGATATGTATGTCTCATAATGTAATGAAAATGGATGGATGGCAATTAAGTGCCTAACTAATCTTACTGCTTTCCTCAGGTGACCTTTGACCCAGAGGTGTTTTTCAACATTTTGCTGCCTCCCATTATTTTCCATGCAGGTTACAGTCTGAAAAGGGTAAGAGTGTCAAAAGGTTTTATATAAAGATTTATGTAAGTATCTGTTATTAAATATATAGCTGTAAGGGTTTATATTTGTCTTTAATGTTTTCTTTTTAAGATTATTCATTTGTTCGTAGCCTCTTTCTTAAAATAAACACCTGCTCTCTGTCTTTCTCAGAGACACTTTTTCAGGAACATCGGTTCCATCCTCGCCTATGCTTTCATCGGAACAGTTATATCCTGCTTTGTTATCGGGTAAGTCAAGTAAACATCTCAGAAGTTAGCTCAGAATAGGCCAGAAAATAATGCCATGCAACGATATTATTGACAATAGTAACTTAGATTTATGTAGCTGGTTCCAAGGTTTGTGTAGCGGAGGAAAAGGTCAGATAAATACTGGGAAGCAAGAGCATGTAGGCAAGGAGATAGATCTTTTAGGAAATATGAGACTTTCCCAGGAGCTGGTGTGGGTGATGTGTTACTGGGACTTTGTACAAGTAAGAACTCTAGGAGCTGATTTCTGAAGATACAGTAGTCCAGGCGGGAGGTGATGAAAGCATGAATGAGGGTTTTAGCTGCAAAGTCTGAGAGTACTGGCCACAGTCTGGAGATGTTCTTCAGGTGGTAGATGGCAAATTCAGAGATGGATTTAATATATGATGTGAATGAGAGGGTGGAGTCCAGGATCACATCCAGGTTGCAGACCTCTGAAGATGGTGAGAGAGAGTATCCACCTACCTTAAGGTGCAGATCGGCCCGGTACATACCACACTGCAGACTTTGCATTCCTACATGTGATCAGATTGTTGCTGAATAGTAGTGGTTTGAGTGTTTGTTTGTTTTTTCTCTCCTAGACTGATCATGTATGGTTTTGTGTCCTTCATGAAAGTCGTGGGGCAGCTTGGTGGAGATTTTTACTTTACTGATTGCCTCTTCTTTGGGGCCATCGTTTCAGCAACAGATCCTGGTAGGTACCCACATCCAAAATTAACAGAGAAGATAAGCATCTGATTCCATTTTCGCCAGCTTTCCTGTTATTAATTAGATGTTTTATACTCTTTATTTTCTGTCTCAGTGACAGTCCTCGCCATCTTCAATGAGCTAAAGGTAGACGTGGACCTCTACGCTTTACTGTTTGGGGAGAGTGTCCTCAACGATGCCGTCGCCATCGTCCTCTCCTCGTACGTATTACTGACGCACTGAAGCATTGGTGCCACATTAACGAACAATTTTTAATGCCCGCCACAAAACAATAAGTGCTTTTTAAGAGATATTAGTTGATATGATTGGTGCAATGTTTCTTTCTGAAGCTGTAGCAGTTTAGGCTCAATCAGCTGGGGCTTTTTGCTAAAGTAATTACATTTTGGTGAACAATTCAGCTCAAACTGTTGGAACCTGAGTTAAATCTGAGTTAAATAACTTTTTATGCAGAAGAAAAACTGTTAATTTTGTGTTTGATTTCTTCAGTTGGGCTCCCAATAGTGCCAGTTTTTTCATATTCATTACAGACAGAAAGAACAGATACAGTTGTAATTATAATTTCTAGTTCTTTTCTAATTAGTCCCATAAAACCTGTGCTTGCATTGAGCTAACTGTGGCAGAAATGGCTTTTTTGTATTGTACACGCATTAATCATACTAACATCAGTCCCTGTCATTTCACTGCTTACCTGTCTCCACCCATCTGTGTCATTCATCGCCTTGCCCGTACGTACGTATGTATGTAGTGTTCTCCTCCGCTTCGAAAAGCTGGGAAGGCATGGTGCTGGAGCTGTGCGCTCCGCAAGAAACGAGAGCTCACTGTTACCTGAGGTGTCCGAGGAATGGCTGGGAGAAAACCAGACAGTGACTCCTCGGTGGGTGGGTTGGTCAGGGGGACTGCGTGGTTTTTGCTTTTGTTAATATTTTAGAACCTCAGACATTAGAAGGTAGGCTTCAGGATCATCCGTCATCACCCTCCCTTTCATTCCTGAGACGCTGCAGCCCTTTCATATCCATTCCTACTTTGATTTTTGATTTTTAGATCACCCACCATTTCTAGAATCACCAGGAAACCCTTTATTCTTATGAAGTTTTTAGTCATTTAGGCTCATTAAAGGTTATTGCAGAATATTAACCTGATAGAGTTCAAATGAAGCATGCCAGACCTTTTATTTTTTCATTTATGACTGTAAAACCCAACTCCACATATTTGAAGTCTTTGCAGATATGTCCAAATCATAACCAAGTTCATCTGTATTAATGATGAGACTGGTAAGAGAAGCCATTCTTGGAGTTGGGTTGCTGCATTTGTGATTTCATTCCTGACGCTATTTTGTGAGCATGTGTTTGACCAGCTTCCCTTTCCTTAGTGAGGCCTTTTTTGTAGTAAAGCCCCACTTCCTTTTTTCTTCTAAATGGCTTTGCGTGCATGCTCTCTGTCTTCCCTGCAGCTCCATTGTGGCGTACCAGCCTGCAGGCGACAACAGCCACAGCTTTGAGGCCATGGCCATGTTGAAGTCCTTCGGCGTCTTTCTGGGCGTCTTCAGCGGCTCTTTTGCTCTCGGGGTTGTTACAGGAGTTGTGACCGCCCTCATATCCTTTCACTTGTTTCTTACCATGACATATTTTATTCACAGGTGTGTACAAGAGGTAAATGAATAACGATACAGTTTCTCCCTGTTTCCAGTGTATTAAAGTTGCCACGCCTCCTTGTTTGGTCCCTTAACTTTCCATCACGTCACCAAGTTCACTAAGCTGCGGGACTTCCCCTTGTTGGAGACGGCGCTCTTTTTCCTGATGTCCTGGAGCACCTTTCTCTTGGCGGAGGCCTGCGGGTTCACAGGTAGACCTGCAACAAAGTCTCCTGCATGCAGTTGTAACAACACTGCCTTCCGTATTTGATTAGCAGCTGCAGCAGTGTGGGAGATAGTGGTTTCACCTTGTGAGTTTGTGCGTGTGTATGTGCACAGGCTTGGTGACACATGCTTTCACTGGAAACTACCCTGAAGGAGTCATTTAAGTGCTCTGTGGAGGCACAGAGTCTGTCAGCTTATCTGTGTGTTTCTTAGGTATTTCTCTGTGTAGTATTTTGCAAAGATCAGTCAGGTCTGAGAAGTCATTGGTCTTCACAAGAAGACATCTGATATCGATCTTGTGTTAGTCTGAAGCTTCATTTAAAACACAGTTGCTGGTCTACTAAGTAAAACTGACTGTTTTACTGTCTTTTCTGGGGAGCGTGTGGCATGCTGCGATATGATGGATTCGAAGGAATTTTATCACTTGCTGTTCAAGCATTTGCATTAACAACAAAAGGTTACAAATATCTGTTTGGACACTAATAATAACATTTAGAAGTTTTGTTCTCCTAAACAGGAAGATTTAGATAAGGACACAGGCTTTGTTTGCCTTCTCATGGTGCCAGTTATCCAGTGTCTAACTGAAGAATTCATTTTTGTCCTGTCAAATGACAAAACAGCAGCAACAACAATGTCTATTTAGTCTGTCTCTCAGTAGATTCCTACCCGTCTGTGCTGACTGTGGCTCTCAGCTCAGTTCTCTCGATAGTGAGTAAAAATAAATATATACAGTAAGTAAAATAAATGCCCAGTTTTCTAAAACTGCAACTTACTGCGGACAGTTTGTGGGCTTAAGATACAATTACTGATGAAGAAACATGTCAACAAATACACGATACACACACACACACACACACACACACACAGTGCTTGGTAATCGTTGGATTTTCCGATTGCTGATGTGGGATGACTGTGTGTTCTTTCAGGTGTCGTTGCTGTGCTGTTCTGTGGGATCACTCAGGCCCACTACACCTACAACAATCTCTCACCAGACTCTCAAGACAGGACCAAACAGGTGAAATGCAGTATAACTTATATAATGTGCTTGATCCCATTGTTTTAAATTCATTTTCAAGCAGCAGTTGTTGCTGCGCTGTTGCATTTAAAGATCTGGTTTGCAAAGAATTACATCTGTGAAATATCTTGAAAGGAAGGATGACTTACAGCTTCTCTGCTTCTTGGGCATTAGCGCAAGCTTGGTTATACTTTTTGCCAAATTTGCAGAAAGTTCTGAGAAATCCACGAGCTGCTATCATTTATTCACAGAAACAGTGAGCTGATGGAGCTGATGTGGCCGACTGCTCCGTGTCCTGCAAACTCAAAGCTCTGTGTCTTCTGTTGAAGCTAGGACGTCACAAAGCTGCACGTTCATATCAACTAAATGTTAATAACCAGTTACTACAATCATCAGTATCAGTTCATGATAATGCAGGATGTTTGTGGATATGAGTTTATCATAGTTATGTGTTTCTGATGAGTTAAAGGTGATATGACACGCAGAAATTTGTGGTCACCTGACTCAAAAGCAGCACTGAGATAGAGATATGACAAAAAAAGTGTCTAAGAAGCAAATGTGGGAAATGGCTTTCAAGTGTCTGAAAACCATCTTAAAATATTTACGTCGGCTTTGAAATGTTTAGTTTGCGCTGGTAAGGCACAGCTTTTACTTTGAAGGTCTCTTTTAACGACTGCACGGGCAGCAGCTGCAAAGTATTTGCAGAAAATCTGCATCTTCCATGCAAACTACAGTGAACTGCGCGAATCTGTCCAGAGCGAGCACAAGGAGGTTTTTGGTGCCAACAACCTCCATTAATCATTCGCCAACTGGACAGTGAGTACATATTTTCCCTAGTGACTAAAGGTTGCCAGTGGGTCACCAACCAACCTATAGTCCTGCGTGACTAGGCCTAGGGGAAGACATGTCCAAAACATCAGATGATTCGCAACTACATGCACAATCTCATGCACAGTCAAAGTTAATTAAAAGCTGACGCTTCATTGTAGTGTGCGAGCTGGAAGAATGTTTATGAGGGGACTCTGTAATACAGGTTATTGATTTTCACTGCATTCTGTCACTGACAAGCATGTTCTGTTGGTGTAGTGGTTAACATGTTTGATTGGCAAGCCCCTGCAGAACAGGCGCATGAAATGTAGCTTCATTAGAAAATGTGACAAGCATTTTTTAAATGACCTCTCCCGAACTCTGGGTCTTCCAGAGTCGTCATTTTATGGTGCGCAAGAATATTTTGGAAATTTTTAACTGTTTCAAATAGAAGGAAGTGTAAAAACTGGGGAAGTAGCATATATAAATGAAATTCAATATCCGCTTTTCTCATCCCCTTCAGTTGTTTGAGCTGCTGAACTTCCTGGCAGAGAACTTCATCTTCTCCTACATGGGTCTGACGCTCTTCTCCTTCCAGTCGCACGTCTTCAACCCTCTCTTCATTGTCGGAGCCTTCGTATCCTTTACTCTGCTGGTGGTTAAAGAGTCAGTGGCTCTGCGGTGCATCAGGATATATGATAAAAACCTTTTGTTTCATGTGCCTTGAAAAATATTTTGATATATATTTATACCATTACAATTGAACATCTATTTCATGTTTAACCAAGGCCAAAAATAACATCACGGACACAAGCAAATCAGCATATCAAAGCTTAGTCACCGCCGAGCTGGTGTTTACGTCTACGTGTGATTATTTTCCATTCCAGTGTTAGAGTTCCTGTGTTGTGTCCTTGACCTTCCTGCGCTGTGTAGGTGGCAGTGTTTCTGGGCAGGGCTGCAAACATCTACCCTCTGTCCTTCCTCCTCAACCTGGGCCGCAAGAACAAGATCGGATACAACTTTCAGCACGTTATGATGTTTGCAGGTACATTAGCATAAAGCTGTTTATCAGGCTTGGACTCAAACCATGTTTCTCCTCTTAAACCTTCAGTTATGTATGTCAACGGTTCATTAAGTACGCTGAGAAAACTGCTCGTTAGCATTGCTACATATACCAGCAGTCGGAGAAGCAAACACGCCCACACCATCGCACAGCACATGAGCTTGCCAGGAAATAACTGAAGTAGTTAAGCCAAGAACAGGATGCATTTATTATTAACTTTTATTAAGTTAATAATAAACGGACAAAAGGCACGCTGCCGCACTTTAATGGGGAATGCGCACAGGAAGAGACCAGCAAAGAGGAACGTTAATAAAGTTCAGTGACTTGTAGAGCTGTTATAGTTAATATTCATTAGGTGTGGTTTCAGTTTGAGTGTCAAGGCTGTGATGGTTTGCACATGTGCAGAGGAGCAATGGTGGATATATTGGACAAAGCTATGTTAAAGATGGGGCTTCCAGACTTCAAGACAATGTAGTGAAGGAGGACACGGAGAGGGTTGATGTGACAGAGGGGGATGCTAGAGATAGGGAGAGGCAACTAGTGTGCGGTGGCAACCCCTAAAAAGAAGGAGGATTTTTCATTTGTTTCCACAGTGGGTGTACATGTTTCAGTTTTGATTTTATCGTCTAGAAGAATTCAGTTGAAGTTTCATTTTCATTAGTCTGAGTGGGAGTTGTGTATTTTATTAGCATATTGTTGGTGAAAGTTCAAAGGGTAAACGGCTCACATTCACAGAGAGGCTGTAGTTATTTACACCAAAGCCTCTTTAGACTTAATGAAAGTGACAAAGACTGAAACCAAACTTTTTTTAATACTTGACGTCGGTCACCTGCACATCTGGAGCCTGAAATGTCCACCTCCAACCAACGATCAGCTACACATCACTTAATATGTGAAAGATGCTCTGGTTTTTCCAGTTGTTTTCACACTACAGGGCATCTGCTTTGTTTCCCGCAGACTTAACCTAAACCTGACCGCGAACGGTCTTCTCAGAATGACTTGCATTCTTTGGACTTGCGTTCTTATTTGCTTACATATGCCTATGTATCCACAACATGAGCAATAATTAATAAAACGTTTTCACCCATCCTTGTTTTATTTTTCGTCTCCTCTAGGTCTGCGTGGGGCGATGACCTTTGCACTTTCCATTCGAGACACAGCGACTTACGCCCGTCAGATGATGTTTTCAACCACGCTCCTGATCGTTTTCTTCACTGTGTGGATCTGTGGTGGTGGCACCACACCCATGCTATCTTTCATGAGCATACCGTAAGCCGGCCTCCGTGTATCTTACTGTTTGTGCTGCATCACCTCCGCTGAACTTTGTCAAAGTACATGTTTTTGTTTTGTTTTGTTTTTTTAGGGTGGGTGTGGACTCTGATCAAGACAACGCTGTGAGTTGGTGTTGAGCGCCGTATTAATTTGTCTGATTTTGTGATGAAATAAAAATGCACGCCATGTCATTATCATCCTTCTGCTGAACAGAATTCAGGCGCGTTGGATGGGTCACAGCGGAGGAGCACCAAACACGAGAGCGCCTGGCCTTTTAGGATATGGTACAACTTTGACCACAAGTATCCTTTCAGCCTGATGCGTTCACCTGTGGCCACGAGAGGGCGCTCTTTACAAACTTCTAGCACGTAACAACACAGGAGGTTCAGAGATAGTGATGATATTTATTTTACTATGTTTTATATCGTGCTTTTCACAAAAGCGTTTTTAAAATGTTGAACCTTTTACTTGAACATTTCAGCTAAAAAATGATAGTAAACCATAAAATGTGTTTTAAGTTTCACAGTGATGTTGTGAAACAGAAATATTCCTTTACTTGCTGCGGTTGAAAACCTGGTTGAGTCATTATTGTTACAGCTGAACCAGACTGCTTTAAAATGGTTAAATTGTGCACTCCTTGACACGAGCTTGTTCACCAGCTACCTGAAACCTCTCCTGACACACAGCGGTCCGCCTCTCACTGCTACTCTGCCTGCATGCTGCGGACCACTGGCTCGATGCCTCACCAGCCCACAGGCCTATGAGGTTTGGACATGAAAAAGAATTATGAGTTATTCAGATTTACAGGACTGTAAAAGTCTTCAGCCACCTCTCATTTATTTATGTTTTCCTTCTAAGGAGCCAGGCTTTCTTGTAACTTTTTTTTTCTTTGAAGTGCTCTTTGAGAAAATAGTTCTCCAGACTTTCTGAAGGCTTCTCAAAGTTTTTCTTTTGACATTGGCTGCTTTTTCACTCCCTTTTTTCCAATGAAGTCCATGTTCCTGACCATTTTCAGAGGAATGTTTTTGTAGTTGTTCTTTGTTTTTTTTTAGTACACTTAAAAATTATCTATGAATTATTCAAGCAGAACAAACTTACCTAAACTAAGAGAACTTGGCAAACAAAAAGATTTTAAATTGTATCTTTAGGCAGTCTGTCACAAAAAACACTATTTGTTTTTAGTTTAATCTATAGGAAAAAGCCATGTGACAGGAATAAACTAGTATTTCTGTGCCATGTCCTTTAAAAAATATCAGAGGATACTGAAAATTTGAGGATTAAAGAAGAAGTGTTAACTCTAAAAGAAACATCTAAAGCAGATGCGTAGTATCTGATAATCATTTTTAGGACATAGAAAAGAAATCAATAAAGACCTGACTCAGGACCTGAGACATCCATCTGGACCTTCATTTGATCATTAAAGGCTCATCAGTAATGGTCTCAGTGGAAGGGTGCCTGACAAGAAGCCCTTCTTAAGGAAGAGTGACAAGGAGAAAAGGCTGAGTTATGCCAATTACACAAGAACTGGACTCGAAATCAGTGGCAACAGCTCTGATGGAGTGAGGAATCCAAGTTTGCAAACTTCTGTTTTAACAATGTGTATAGAGGAGGTCAGGAGACGGGTACAACAGTGGGTGCTTACGGCCGTCTTTAAAGCACGGTGGAGGCTCTGTCATGGTTTGGGGCTACATTTCAGCCAGTGGTGTTGGGGATCTTATCAAAATTGATTGATTGAATTATGAAAGCAGGTCAGATTTTGATCTACGGGCAACAACTTCATTTGTCAGCATGACAATGATCCCAAACGCACTGCCAATGGAGTAAAAAAACACAATAAAACACTTTCAGTCATGGATTGGCCTCCCCAGAGCCCAGACCTCAACATTATTAAAGCCGTGTGGGATCATGTTGTCCTTCAGGAAGCCTGGAGAACTGTTCCTAAAGACTATAAAGAAATAACAGGAAAGCTTCTTAGAGTTCAGGCTGTGTTGAAGAATAAAGGTGGTCACACCAAATATTGACTTACTCACTTCACGCACTTTGTTTCCATGCATGTTTTCACATGTTTCAGTAAATCGCTGCACCTATTTCCCATTTTCCCAACAAAACATAAAGAAATAAGGCATGACTCACGACTTTTGCACAGTACTGTACATGCAAACTTACTCATACTGATCGAGGATAATTCTTGATTTTGATTAAGTTTCGTGTGGAAGCATTCACGGCCGCCTCTTCTCTTCCCGCTCACCAGAATGAAGGTCAGCTCCATGACGACGACTCTGACTTCATCCTGAACGATGCCAGCGTGAGCTCCATGTACGCCGACGTCACCGTCAGCACGGACGCGTCCGGATCCCGCACCGTCAACCCCAAGCACTCCTCGACCACCCGCGCCGGGGGTGGTGTGGGTTCTTTCGATGAAGGTCTGGATCACGAGCTCTCCGTGGCAGAACACGAAGTGGCGATCCGGGGAACGCGGCTGGTCTTGCCCATGGATGACCCCGTGGAGGCCCCGACTACCGTCACCCTGCCTCCACCACCCTCCCCCCCGCGCTCCGAACCTCACAGGCACAGACTGTAAGAAAGCTGCCGCTCTGAGGACGCAGTTTGTTGTTTCCAACTTAAAAAAAAAATACACACCATACATACGACTGATCAAAATAATGACATATTTAAAAAAACAAAACAAATGAATTCTTCGGGATTTTCAATCAGAAAGCACAGATTGATTTTCTCACCACCAATCCATCTAACATGCAGTTTTAAAATAGTTTGAGCTTGATTTAAGTCGGGATAACTGTGACACTGAATGTGACGTGAGGGACTTTTAAATCAAGAGCTTCTCGATTTTATAGGTTACATTTCACCCCGTATGAGGAGGCTTCATTTGCTCCTGTGTTTATCCCACACTGGTGATATGGCAGCGCTCTCTATAAACCTAGCTGTATACACAGTTCACATTTTTCCAGCTCCTTTTGTGTGTTTCTACCTAAAGATAAGCACCACGCATAACACTGAAGGGCGTTAAAGCCCATCTACACTACAGTTTGGTAACTAATCCCACTAACATATCCACAGACTGGCTCACTTTAACACTAGTTATTGTTCCCAGAGTTCATCAGCAGTTCAAGCATGTGATTAGGAGATTATCAAAGGAGGAAGCAAACAAAGACCTGAGCAGAACAAACAGGCAGGTACTGATTAAAGAGAACGAACTGCATCCACACCAGTGCCCAGGAGCATCTCCACCATCTTAGATTTTAGCACTGCCTCTAAATCAGTCTGTTTACGGTTTGATTTATTTATTTAACATTGATTTCTTTAACAAAATTATTTATTTATATACTGATTCATTTAGTTTATTTATTTATTTATTTGTATTTTTGTGTGAGATTTCTTTTTGGTGAAAGGCTCCTATTGCGACTTTTTTCCAAGGGGTGGAGGGCGTAATAAAAGCGCTACAGATTTCTTCACAGGTGGAGGCGATTATTCCTTCCTGGACTGTATGCATGTTTAAAAAAA